TAAAAATTGATTTATCATATATATATATATATAGGTATATGTTATTAATTGTATATACACATTTTTCAACGGTATATAAATTAGGGAACAGAGTTAACGTGCGCATAATATTATTATCGCGACGACCGAGCAAATTAGACGGTCCGAAAAATATATATAATATGTTAACGGGTGTTACATACAGGTCGCAATCAATAGTTACGGCGCATTCAAATAATATAATGTAGGTAGGTACTCAATACTCTTTTAAAATATTTATATTATAATATTATAATCGTATAAGTAATAAAGATAATAATAATACATAATTAATGATTTATCATGTCTCAATAGTGTTTAATTAACGAAGCGTTAAACTCGTTCCTCCAGTGGGAAGAATATTCATTCTGTGAAACAAAAAATTAAACACGATTTTTAGGTTGGCGTTAGTCATACATTATAAATAAAATACGATATATTTTATAATTAGTAATTACTTACCATATTTTTATTGTTATTTTTTCGAATTGCTTTTAATGTAGCTTAACTAATAATAGTGTGATTAACAATAATTATAGTTGGTCAACGACAATTGCAAAAAATGATTATATAAAAATCAAACACTACTTTCTCATTTTTCAGTCTGTCAGTTTTGTATATTTATATAATTGGTTTTATCTTATTGTTAATGATTTTTCTTCAATTTTAATAATAACTTCTTTCTTAGAAGAAAAAAATTTAATTTTACTATTAACAAAATTATAAATCAGATAATTACCGTCATAATGTTATTAATTACACAATAATTTAGATATAAACTTTAAATAATGATTATTTTCTAAAATAGAAATTAGCTATAGCTACTACAACTGTTAATTTTAATATTTTTTACTGTTGACTAAAAATTTATAAATACCTAATACTAGTATTATTTAAAGGTTAAACAATGTTTATAAAATCGCTATAATGACACACGTAAAATACATTAATAAATCATAGTTATTATTGGTTATGCAATTTCTATAGAATAATATTTTTTGTTTTATGTTCATATTTTAAAATATTTGTAAATATTATGTTGAATCCCTTGAGTGTTCTATATGCATGCAACTGTAATCATTGTTGGACATATATGTATCTATTTTGCCTATCTCGGAGCCGTGGTATATTATATATTATATTTTTTATTAATTTTCTGAAAGTCATAGTTGTTTGTTAATAACATTATATTTACATTTATATTATTTAAATAATCTATTATTATCTTTTACTATAATATTTTATGTTTTTGATAAATGTATAGTAAATATACGGTTATAAGTATTTTATAATAATAAATAATAATAATGATAATAGGCTTGCAAGGAAATAAGAGGTATTAACTATAGTAATAGGAAACTGTGACAACTTTGCAGTGCATTTTTCGTTTTGTTAATAAATTATTTTTTCATTCAAATTATCAATTTTACAAAATTATTCATCCGATTAATTTCATGATGATGCAATTTAAAATAATGACTACTGATACTTATTATATTATGTACCTATTTTAGGTATTTATTTTATTGTATTGCACGTGTGGTTGACTACCCTAATATTGGGATATAAGTATGAAATAATGAAAATATTATTTATACTTTTCACCAATTTATTTTATATATATTACTAATCTTTACTCTCAATCTCAAATTTTAAGTTAGAATTAATGTACCTAATTCCGTTGTATATTTATTTTTAATTAAGGACACACTACCTATTACCGTTTTAATCTATTTTTAAAATAATTGTTTGACTTTAGATAACTTGCAACTTTCAAGTTCATATTATTTATTAATACATATATATTATATATATATATAATTTTATATATCTATATATGTATTAATATAACTAATTTATGATTATAATTTTTGAAGCTATTCTATCAGATTTGTAGAATAGGTAAGAGCAGGGGAAAAGATAATTTAAAATTCCAACCCAATGTCCTTCAATTATATCAAACCATAATTCACTGTTTTAAGCCGCCATTAATATTTATTATTGACGGTTGTTGTTTTGGCATAAAGTTGTATTGTTAAAAAAACCTATTCATTTATTGCCAATAATGTTGTGCCGGTAACAATTATTATTTGTCCTTAACGAGTTCAGGACTGACTGACTGACTGACATTAATGAGAGTGTAGGTACCTATATAATATAATATAATATATGAGAGTGTGTGTGTATGTGTATCTTTTATTTCTTTTTCATTTGTCGTCGACTCGATTTTTTTCTCGGAAAATTAAATGTTTAAGCAACCGCTGGTCATATTTCCCACATGTTACATAATATGATGCCCGCCGGCCGATCAATTATTAAAACTAATAATAATTCGTATTAAAGTTGATATAGGGTTTTTTTCCCCTTTCTCCCCTATAGTTCTGTGCCATTGAATAAATAATAACCTTTTCGTTTCGTCCATGTTTCTAAAGTTTGATTTATAATTAAAATCCCCCGCCTATACTCCATCTATAATATATACCAAACCAACTCTACATAATGACACGTTATACATTGTTCGTATTCGCAACAGATATATTTAATAATTGTTTTCCGTACGTTTCTATGACAAAACTCAGTTCTTGAGTACATCATCAACTGAGTATAGCTGGGGCCTAAGTGCCCGTGATAATATTCTCTGCTTCTATATTTTACTCTTTGATGACTGTACAATATTATACTCGATTTTGTTTTGTGATCACTGAGTCTCGATTTCGTAACGATATTGAATTTCATAGGAGAAAAAAATTAAAAAGTTAATTTCCAATATGGCCGCAAGACATGTCCATTTTTAATGTTCACCACAGATATCGCTAATAAATTATCATTATTATTATTATTATTATTGTATATCGAGGGTATATTAATGGTATTATATTATTATATTGTCCATCCGAATGGTTTATGGACATCGTAAAAATTCTTTGGCCTTATACGTGCCAACACATCATGATTAACCCTAATCCGCTTTAAGTGACATTTAGATAGTGGGTATATGTGTATGAGAGTATTTGGATAAAGGCCAGGCCGCTGGCATTACTATACTGCAAAAGAGGACTCGCGAGTTTTAGGAAATATTTACCTCGTATAGGGTGATTCATCGGGTCAGTTTATCATATACGATCCCCCATGCTCGTAAATATTTGAAAAATGATTTCCTATAACTCAGAGGACAACTTAAAACCTATTGGAATAAGTATATAATATTCGAGTATTCATATCGCGTTTTGTCACTAGTCATCATGAGTGTCGAATAATCATTCTTATCCTGCTGCAGTTGTGTTGCCGTTGCGTGTCAAAAATGAAACCATAATATTAGAGATCTGATGATGATTTGTGTTTATATTGTTTTAAATTGGAAAAAAAATTAAATTATTTTATGTTTGTTTTAATAACACGTACAATGTATAAGGTATATCGAAGAACGATGTTTGTGCTTTCATAATTTACATCACGTATTGTTTACAGTTAAAATATTTCAATTTGAGTTTGTATGTTTATTGTAATATAGTTTTGAATTGAGAACGCTGCTTAGATATTGTCATAAATCTTAACCCAACAACTCGTATTGAATTTTAAACAAACGTTTTATGTGTTTACTTATTATTTTAATAATAATAAAATATAGGTAGGTACGTATGAACTGATAGCTTATACAAACCCTTGTATAATAATAATAATATAGTATTGTTTTTAACATACTATTATCATAGGCGTAATTAGGGTCAAAATCCTGGGGGGGGCTACATTATAGTACATTGAGCAGAAATTATATATTAATTAAAAAATATATCAAAATAATATTATCTCATGCGTTCATTGAATGAAATGAAAATGCACACACTGTATCGTGGTGGTCCTAAGCTTTTTCTTCGTTAGTATTTTGTTACAAAATGTACGTCTAAATTGAAAATAAATGGAGTGTTTTTACAAATCATAATAATATGACTGTTGAAAATACTCACAACACTATTGAGATATTATGTTGTTTATGTCAATCGGTCTAACAGATTCAATCGGTAACAGTTAATGCATATTTATAAGTGTCTTACGGAACAGTATAAATGTTTAGATTGTTGGTTATAGAAATAATAGAAGTACTAGAATGTATTATATTGTACTTCCGCATATAAGTATAATTTAGTTCTGAATTAGAATGGTTAGGTATATAATTATTGATTAAATTTGCATTAAAAACAAACAAATACGACGTATCGTTTTACAAAAAAATGGTCTTCGTTTTTGTCCATACAAGCACAGTTTTTTAAAAAAAAAACCAGAGTAAGGTGTTAAACAAAAGAATTCGAAGAAGAGGGAAATACATAGAAACAAATAATATACATTTATAGACACAAAGTATGAGTACATAACGTTCTTATTCACCATGTGTTGTTTCGTGTATAATTACACACACGCCGTGGTCTAATTAGTCGTATTATACGTGACAGTAGATTACAATGGATATAATAATATGATCGGTGGTCGTAAAAAATGGCTTGTCGTCATCCCCATTATATTATATAGTCCAGCTTGTATGCATTTTATCGTTTCAGCTATTATTAATATATTATGTAACTACCCCGAGTTCCAACGGAAAATAAGGAAATGGTAAACACCATTATAATATATAATTACTGCACGGGTATATAGCAGTCATGATGTATTATATGTGCGTATAAAATTTGAAAAACCATTTTTTCCGTTTTATTATTATTTATATAAATTTATAATAATTACACGTTTTTAGAATATATTTTTTTGCTATTGTGAGGCGGTATACAATATAGCATAAAAAAACCTCTTGTTTATTTAAAGGATATATTATTATAATAACCGTCTCAATATCCCCCCAAGCCAGGTCAAACCGTATACAGTCTCGACTATAATGATACACCCATATATATATATATATATAACCTATATACCTATATCATAGGTATATTATACTATAACACGAGTCGTTTTTTGTTTCCCGTTTATAGTGGTACTCTGTGGACAAATCCCAATTGGACAACGACGTGTTTTCGAGTTTTGTGCAGATGCATGCGGACGCGGACACCGAACGGTTCTTGGACGATTCGATCGAACAGAGCGACAGGCTATTGCCGCAAGTGTGGAAATCGATGGTGTCATCCTTCCTGAACGTGTTCATGACGAAGACTTCGATCAACGGGTAAGAACAACGTGGCCGCCGCGCCGTATAGATATAATAATATAATATCACGATAAATAACCATCACGACGATTATATTACATTATTACACACACACGTAATATCCAGCAGTCGGAATGTGCGCTCGTTTTCGAAAATATTATTAATATATAGGTACACAGCAGTTGAGCCAAGTACTGCAAAATATTATACCGCAGCACTACGAGTAGGTATATATTGTATACCGTGTACGGGATCCAGCGCACAGTGTTTCCCAAACTTTTTGTTATTGAATCCTTGTATAGATTTTCAAAAACCTCATTCCCCATTAATCAAACCAAAATAGATATGTATTTTTTTGGTTATATACTGCGCAGGGAACGTAGAATGATTAGTAAAGATAAACAAATAAAAAATATTAACACACTGCATAGGTTGCTGAATAATATTTCTTCAATGTAAATTAAACCGAATTATATTACTGTACATTCGAATTTTTGTGTTAAAGTAAAATAATATTATGAACATTTGTGATACAAGATAGACACATTTTTACACTACGACGGTTCTTACAACTCTATTTAGGCGATAGAAATGTTATGCTCTGTCAGTACGAGTATACCTACAAAGTACAATTTTATCGTAATATGGTCATATGATTCGATAGCAGGTAAGGTACTTGATTTGAGATTAAAAACGTCGTGTTGAACCGTATACGTGTTAAATTGAATCAACTATTCGAGTATTGGTCGGTCGTCGGTTGATGGTTGTTTTTAATGTATATGTATTAAATCTCACCCCCTACCGCCACACCTAAGAAGAACGCTTCTCATAGGTTAGGAAACACTGATCTAGTGTAATGGGTACATTATGATTTATGTTATACACTATACAGGATGTATCGCTTAGATTAGGCTCGTTTATGCAAATTCGATTTTAACGCAATATTATAGGCTCGGAATAGGTCGTTTTCTATTCCTTTTAAGGTACAACGAAGATTCTTCCATAGTTGGTATAATATATTATATAATATAAATATAGGTACACACACTTCGTGCCGTATTCGTCACTCGTCTACACCCCATTGGCCGGTACGCTAGCATCGTCCGATTGGTCGGAAATAAAATATTATGTTTTTCATTCGGTTTTTTTTTTTCGTTTTGACTGTCCGCGTAATTAAGCTCGACGACGACGACAACAACGACGACTGCCGCCGCCGCCGTCACAGCAACCGGTCCGCCGTCTTCGTCGTCGCGGTCGGCTCATGCATATTGCATGCCGCGTACGCGCCCGTCAAACCGAATGCGCGCGCGCCGCCGACAGCCCGGCCGGGTCGAACACCGCAGCAGAAGAAAACCGCGCAAAAACGCATCCGTGGGATTTTTTCTTTTAGGATTTTTTCTCGTTCCTCCGCCACCGCCGCCGCCGCCGCCGCCACACTACCGACGGGCAAAAATTTTAATCCGGTTTTGCCATCGTCGGTGTATAATAATAATATATTATATTATTATTATTACCACTATTATTGTTTTTATTATTCGTCCAACACGACAATTTATTCTTCTTCTCCCTATATTTTATATTTTATGAGTGGTAGTAAACAGTACTATAAATTATTGTGCACAACTGAACTAATCAGCTAACATTTGAAATTACTTCAATTAAATGTTGTGGTTAAAATATAGTCTTAACTAAATTAAAATTGTTTTCTTTTTTTGGTTACACTAATTATTATTTTACCTACTAATACGGCATTATCAAAATCATAATCTAAATCTCGACAACGAGACGACCCTCCCCCCTCCTAGTATTACGCCATAAAAAATAATGCTATATTGAACAACACAGTGCACAATCACAGTTTAGTAATTAATTAGTATTGGAAACAGATTGTATACCTAGCGATATTGTTATTCACCGTCAGCTGATATAAAATATAGGTATTCTAGCATAAACGTCCATAGATTTTTGATCGGTTACGCGAGTTTGTGTTTTGCGACTTTTCTATATCGTTGGAGATTGATATTTCTTGAATGACTTTATTACGCACTTTTATGGTAAAAGTAACAAAACAATAAAATGTGTCTGATAAATACGTAAGCACCGTGTTTAATAAGACATTTAAAAAACGAGATTTGTACTTCTAATGTTCTTCTCTTACACTTATAATTATATCCTTATATTGTACTCATTATAATATCATGTCTTCAGATTTGAGATACCTGAGATATAGAGTCATACAATATATAGCGTGTATAATAATATTTTCCGGTTTATATATTTTGTAAATAATTGCACGATGTATTTCATAAAGTAGTTTAACATTTCATTAATTTTATATTTGTTGTATTTTAATTATTAACGGTCTTTTAATTTATAATCAGATCATTATATACTAAGTTATAACATGGTATTATAATAACGTTGTCCATCTGCGTATATAAGTTATATTAACCCGGTGTCCCTAGTAATATACATAAAATCGACTTCTGGCAAATAATAATGTAACTATATATATAAAGACAACGGATTGTGAAACAAATAACATAATAAGGTAATTTATTGCATAGATTAAATGGAAATAATTAAAAGCCTCACGGCTAGTTTTTAAACCATTCTATAAATCTATTTCCGTAAATTAATTAGAAAAGGATACTGAACATAGTACGATGTATACCTACGTACATGATAATTCGTATTATGTACCTATACGTCTTATAGAGCCCCGGGCAATAATTTGTGCACAATTGTACGCGTTACTAGCAATAAATATATTTATATTTCTTATTGCCTTGATATAAATAAATGATTTAATGTACGTACACTTATGAATTATTTTACTATATATTTTATCGATTAGGTAGTTATTTGATAAAAACAAATCGTAAAAGCGCTGTGTCGGCGATATACGCTGCTTATATATATTTTAAATTCTAAACATCTATGCTATTATATAATAATATATATTCGTATAGTTCACATCTGACGTCGGCCATTCGTCTATACGTATTATTATTATTTTAATCTCCAAATATTCGGATAGGCTTCCGATACCGACCAACGCGTCGTACTTCATAATAATAATAATATTAATAATAATAACATTACAAATCGGATACCGAGCTCGCGACGGCGACACCTGCGCCCGCGCAGTTTCGGCTTCTCGTAGAGGTTAAGAGCGGTTATATGTTCTTCTATATAACTACCGTTGTTGTAAGTATCTATCTCATCCACCCCTCAATCGGTAGTATACATCGCAAATGACTCTCTTCGACCCACCGCCGTTGTATATATAAGCACACATTATATTATATTATATAACACAGCCGCCCGAGGTTTCTAACGTGTCGAGATATTGTTGGCATCGATTCCCGTTTATTATTACTATACTACCACTACTACTACGCTATTATACTATAGACACACGACGCACACCGTCGTAACCTAAGGGAAGGTGGCTGGATTTACCCCGGACGTATAAAAACCACCCCCGCGAGAACCGCATTCAAACCGCCCGGGAGGGGGGAACAGAGGCGCGATGTTCTCGTACAATGCACGCGCGTCTAAATCGTTGCGTATTAAAAACGTCGGCGTCGTGGAGGGCTCGGCAGCCCCGGGTAATCTCGCTAATGACATTTTGATTACGCGCCCACGGTGGTACCTATAATATACACCACCACCACCACTACCCTCACCACATCAACAACGTTTCGGGAATAAATATTCACGTTTTCACTGCGTTTATAGGTACATAAAATGATACGCGTGTGTGTAAAGACTGCAGCAAACTTCGGAATAATCCTTAGAGATACGAATACAAAATAAAAGGATAACTGTTATTTTTTCTCTTTATATATAAATATATATACTTATACCACCCTCGACCTAGGGGCTAGTTTCTTTCTTTTTTTTTTATTTAATTTTTAGTTTTTAGGGCTGCCCGCCCGAAGGCAACGACATATGTAGGTATATTGTGAATCGTATATGTAATTGTAATATGTATATGTATTTCTATAAAACTATTAAAATTGTACCGTGCATATGTCGTGTAATATATATATTATGTGATGTGAATTTCCATCGCACGCAACTTTTCACAAAAACGATTATTGTTTAACGTTAATACTAAATTATATATACCGTTTATAGTTATATACTTATATATCTTGTTGGTATTCATTTTTCTTGTATTAATTTACTTCAGTTTCTTTTTACTGTTTAATTCGTCTAGTATAATGTTATACGAGTTCCCACCGGAAATCGGCATCTAACAATCTCGGCTATACCTATTGGAGAGAAATAATAATTATAGAATCTATACAGTTGTTATTATACCATCGTCGAAGTGTGAGAAAATGCGGTCGACATCAGAAAGCCCGTCAAACAGCAGTTGTGAATTAAATATTACTCGTCATCCTTGACGTGGTCTTTTAATCGTACATCGTGGTTTTTCTTAAATTATCGCATCATTATCAAAACGTTTTTATATAGATTGTCTAAAATTTTTCCCTTTACACAAAATATTCTCATTTTCATATGTGTATACATATATGAATAATATATGAATAACCGTTATATAAAAATGTCATATAATATTATGATAAAGTTGTGCTGCAATCAAAAGTCACCGATTTTAAAAACTAAAATTTTTTTTATCTAAGTAGGTACTGCTTTTATTTTTTTTATTCACGTCTATTCTAGCTCTTTCCCGTATTTTTAAATCGCTAGATATAGTGCGCGTATTATAAGTTTTTGTTATCACATGTTTATGTCCCAATATTATTTTCTTATGATTAGGGTACAACCAGATTAGTTCGTTACAATCAAATTAATAATAACTGAACTTTGAATCACCGTCGGTCTTGTTATATTGCCGCTGCGCAGTACATCCATAGTTTTGGGGGTGGATAGAGGGGGGGGGGGTAAAGCTATAAATTATACACATCGCTATTTGATTCTGCAGTGGGTAGAGCCAGTAAAACGGTGCAGCGTGTACGTGTTTTTCAACGAGCTGGCTTATAAGAT